CCAACAAAGTCTGATAACACTGTGGAACAAATTCAGGTTAGCAAAAGTTAGGTCGATTATGAGAGTGAGGGGTGAAAATAGCGGCTAAATAAGAAGACCCGTATCGCGGCGTTTGTTTATGTTAGTTCGAATTTTTTTTAATCGACCTTCGAACTTTGCAATCAAATGCCGATTTTCAGCATATTGCAGTTTGGTGATAACGTTCGCCTTGCTCATCAGATTCAGTTGGAAACTGTTGAGCGAGTTGATCAAGATGCTGACGCAAGAGATGAATTTTGTACGACATATTAACCCCAATTTCATCGAAAGCTGCCAACATGTTTGCAACAGATTGCCTGTAGTTGTCTTTGCGTTCTTTACCCAAAAGTCCTTTAATGACTCCTTTCAATGCGAGCCATGCATTTAATTCTCGGTCTGTCAGAACTTGGTCAGAACCAAACTGCGCTTCCATTTGAAATAAGGTAACTATAGAGTGTGCATATTTTGAATTCCTAGATTTTTCTAATATCTTTGTCAGAGTGCACAATTTAAACATTTTAACGATTGAAAACTATTTTCGTTTCAGGTACAGAGGAAATAAATCTCCAGATGCAATACTCGCTGAAATTTGTTGGTGGTATAAAAACACCTTTGAAGAAGAGGAAGACGAGGAAAAAGAGGAAGAAGGGGAAGACAAAGATGAAATTGCAGAATATCTATTGGACGAAATTATCGACCTTTCTGATGATGATGACGATGACCAAGATATTAGAGAGAGCAGTGATGTTGATCCACAGCCGCCTGCTAAACGGCAACTGGCCAAATCATTAATTTAATTTATTTAATTTTTTAACTTAAAACTTTTCATAACTAACATTTCAAAATTATATTTTTTCCATATTTTTATAATTTCTTTTTCAATGTTTCTTCAAACCCAACACTGAAAAAATTGGTACATAAGAAATGAGAAGTAAATTAATATTAAGCTGGAAAACGCAAGTTTTGTATTATGATTGTTTTCTTTTCAAATGAAATTTATTGAAGAAACTGAGAAGCATATTATAGATCAAACAGAAAGCAAAAAAAGACTGAGTTTTGTGGGAAATATGTTCAAAAAGCATGAAAAAAAATCCAATATTTTGCTTCATAAGCACTACAAAAATTTTCTAAATCAATTTTTTTTTAAATTTTAATTGTTGCACAGGTCTCTAGCAATAATTTGGTTTTAACATATTGAAAAAATATCAATTAGTCGACGATTTATAGCCAAAACACCATATAAACAATATGCTGAAAATCGGCATTTGACTGCAAAGTTCGAAGATCGATAAAAAAAAATTCGAACTAACATAAACAAACGCCGCGATACGTGTCTTCTAATTTAGCCTCTATTTTCACCCCTCACTCTAAGAATCGACCTAACTTTTGCTAACCTGAATTTGTTCCACAGTGTAATTCGCTATTATTAGATATGGCAATAGGTTCACTGTTGGCAGACACACGAACGAAGACTCCCCCCCGTCGCGAGAAAGCGCTATGCAGTTTCTTCTGCTTCCTCAACTTTATCGCAGCTTGCAAAATTTTTCTATTTTCGACAGAAAGGCTTTCAAATACGCTGATTGTGTTGTCGCTGTCAAAACCAATTGATTTGAGAGAAACAGGTGAGTTATTTTTCTTTCCGTAACGGGAGAAAGCAGCGAGAGTACGAGTGCGGTCAAATGATGAGCGGAATTTCACAATCACGGCACTGCTAGGACGCTCAGTCGTACGTTTTGTTCGAAAAATATCGCGAATGGGTGGTGGAGTAAACTCAATCGTTTCGCATATGCAGTTGAAGATATCGCTCAACTTTTCCTCGTTGGAGAAGGGCAGACCGAATATCACGGCGTCAGAAGAATTCTCTGATCGTTTGACCTCCTTGAGTTTTTCCAACTCCTCTCTTACCTCACTAAGCTCAGCAGATAGTCCAAGTACAACAGCGGAGTCTTCTTCTAGTCGACAGCATCTACTTTCCACTTTTTCAACGCGCAGGGAGATAGACTCAATACTCTCCTGTAGCTTAGCCGAGAACTTTCCTCAAGCAAAGCGATCTCACCAGACAATTGAGTGTAGAGACCACTAATCCGCTTGTTGGTAATCTGGCAGCACCGATGACTTACTGCTGATTGTTTATTCTTTTTGCTTTGCTTGTTCGTTCGTTTTTCATTTCGACTTGTCAATTCCTACACGAGGCAAACGCAAATAAAATTTGTCACGTAACCGCATTTTTGTGTTGCGCATTTCCTTTTTATTAATCTAAAATTATTGGGAGCATCCTTGCATACCACGTTATTTAACATTGGTGACCCCGACGTGATCTTGTCGGGAAAGAAAGTAAAATCTATTGCCAAATTAAGCCCGGCAAGTCACCAAACGTGGTTGGCATTTTGGTAATCATCCGTAACTACTTCTGAACTGCAGAATGGCACCATCTAAGAAGCCTTATGACGGAGAGCTTAAGCGCAAGAGGTGTGAATCTCTAGCTCAACAAATGCTGTCCATCAATACTTTGCTGACACCTGAATACGTACTGAGTCTTGACGAAGCTGCTGTGGAGGTCAGGCTGGACCAGTTGAATCGCTTGGAAGGGAGATTTGACATTGCACAACCTCATGTGGAGGACGACGACGACGTCGAAGAGATGCTCGCAAGATTTACGACACATTACATGGAGGCAAAGATTAAGTTGACGCGGCAGTTGCATACTTTTCGTAACGTAGAGGCACATCATTCAACCACGCGGCCAACTACTGATGGGCCGCCATCATTTGTTTTTGCTCCTCCCAAGCAAGGCTTACCTACGCTGAAAATCCCCAAATTCAGCGGCAGTTATGCAGACTGGCCGGACTTCTTTTCTATGTTCAAGACGGTGGTCCACCAGGATGCTGACTTAACCAGAATTGAGAAGTTTCAGCACATTCGCTCCAGCCTGCGTGATGCTGCTTTAGACACCATACGGTCTGTTGCAATCTGGCAATATTGCATCAACGTTCATTCTTTATTATCTG